CGGCGTTACCTACCTTTTTGTTATATTTCTAACTTCTCTAGAGTTATAATATGTCTTCTTATTTACATCTCGTTTGCAACATTTCTGTAAGTATAATATACTTAAAGGGCAACTCCACTCAAAAAGTCGACCCTATCGAAATGATTGATATCGGTTTAGGGGGGCAAAATACGGTCATACCCAAAATATCCCGTCAAACCGACGCCGCATGCCCGATTAAAACCAATATTAAAAATGTTCTCCCGGCCCGGTTAGCGGCCCGCAAGCGGGTGAGCAACGCTGGCACCGGGTGAGCTAGTGAAGCAACACTGGGCAATGACGTAGGTTTAGTCCTCCGCTCTCGTACGAACGCCGCGGACGCTTCGTTTCCCGTGAAATTCTGCGATTCTGCTGACGGCAAGAGGTGTTTACCGCGTTATCCTGCGTTCTCCTATTTTTATTGGCGTCCAGGCAGTTCATTTAACTCCAGCATTGCTTTCGCGACAGCGCGGAAGAGAGCGAAGCGGTGCTGCTCGCTCACGCGCGTGTCGTGGAGCCGGAGAGACTCGACGGACTCCCGTTGGGCAATGTCGAGCACGACTTGTAGTGCTGTGCGTTGCACCAACAATCCAGTGCGCAACCCGGAGCTGCGGTTCCACAAGTTCCCAAGAGACCGGAAGAGGCACAAGGTGTGAGTCGGTGCCGTTCGCCTGATATACTTTCGGGAGACCTTCGACTTCGAGCTCCAACGCGAAGCTCTGCTCCCAGCACTTTACGTCAGACACCTACACACGGTATCTGCGGCTGCTGACTGTTGCGTGTTTCTCCACGAAACACGCGTCTTTGAAGAACGATGCGATGCCGTCGCTGTTCCCGTACCGTCCGCCGGCTGCTCCAGCACGATCGGCCGGACGCAGGAGGTCCCGGCTGATGTAACTACCGTGCAAATAAAGGCACCTTAGCTTAGCAACTTAGACCGCTTGTGGATACATATGTCCCTATATCTCCCATTATTCCTTTTTCTCTCGGTCCGCGAGCAAGAAACAAATACAGTCACGCTGCGCCGGCACTGACCGCGTCATATTTATAGCAGTCGGATTCGCTTTTTGGCCGGAAAATTTATAAATGCAAACTAAAACTTACTACTTTAGATGCATATTAACAAAGTGAAGCGGTAAAAAAGAGAATGCGCACTTACCTTCTGTTTTGAAACTCCACGTGCGACTGAGTCGACATTGTCGGTGCGTCGGCTCGGGAGCGCGGGACCAAAACTAGGTCATGCCGACGACGCGCCACTAGTATCAGTGTTGCCAGGCTGCTTCAGCCGGTAGTTTCGGTTTCGCCGTGCCGCCGTAACGATACTTGGATTCGCGATATCTTCAAAACTATACGCACTACCGGAAAACAAATTATATCTCATGATTCAGGGTCGCCGACTTCGACTAAATAGATTATAACCCAATAATTGTAAAAATGCAGTGGAGTTGCCCTTTAAAGAAACTGTGCTTTGAAAAAATGTTTTCGTCTTTGTGTGAAAAACTGTATTGTTTAACGAACCCCACTGCAATGATGTCTAGGGTGACCACCCGTCCCGCGACTCGCGGGACTGTCCCGCATTGAGGGCTCGTGTCCCGCGACCCGCAAGAAATTCCCAAATCTTCAAAATGTCCCGCATTTCACATTGTCGTAACATTCACTGCGCAAATTATGGCGCTTCCGAACAACGGGCAATGGAGAACCGCGGAAGTCGCTCATAAATGTGTGAATCTCTATGGTATGTCATTTTCTTGCCAAGCACTGCGGGAAACAACCGTCGTTCTTGCGGGAGACTGACGCACATGCGCCGTTGTGCCTCTCCTCTTGGTGGCAAGATATTGCAAGCGAAAATTGCTCGCCAAAAGCTGAAAAATACACTATTGTAATTAGTTGGAAATCATACGTATCGTGCAAAGAAATGTTGTGGAAAACTTTTTTTTTTTAGTGAAGACGGTTACAGAAGGCAAAAAACTTGCAACTCACAACGGTCAAAAAAACAACAACATAAAGTTTCATTTTTGTGTAGGAGCATGTTGATATAAGAGTAAGTATCGACAGGAGACAATAAGCAGAAAAATATTTACTGTTTTTTATTTCCTATTGATGCATTGTCGAAATTTATGTTTTCAACTTGGATACTTTTAATAAAATATTTACCATTACAAATAAACAAAAGTATATCAATGTGAGTGAAATTTATCTTAATTTAATTGCCGCGTACAATTTCCAGGTGTATAACACGCTTTCGGGCAGCACAAAATTTCGGGGTGTGCGCATCGGTGAATTTCCCTTAATCCCCCCCCCCCCCCGTACCCCGGTCAGGGTGTCCCGCATTCCACCGGTAGGAAGGTGGTCACCCTAATGATGTCCCCTAGGCTATTCAAAACAAATAAAGTGTCAAAACTAATGCTTGATTTTACAAGACATTTCAAGTTAAGGAATATAGTGCATCTACTTTCCTGCAAAGCCCTTGGTAGAGGAAGTCTATATAATATGCGGAAAAAGAATGGCGAATGTCAAAGCTTACAATATCTCTTGATAAAAAAAAAAAAAACTGCATTCTAGATTTCGTTTTAAGGGATATTCACACGATGCATCTTGTTGGCGAATCATGTGTCGCGCAACTAGGTTTCGGGAAGCAGATCAACCGTGTTAACGTGACCGAAAAAGTGGCGCACCTCCGAGAAAGATTTGGTGTGCGCCTCGCTTCTGGAGCGATATTTTCCCGGAACCTCACCAAGGCCTGTCCATCACGCGTCAAACTCCCCATGTGAAAAGGCCGATTTCGCGAAATGTTGGATTTCTCTAAACCGTGGCGCGATGAAAAGATGCATCGTGAGATTAAGCCTTTAGTGTCATGGAGCAGACGGTCCTTGTACGCCCAGACATATCTTCCTCGTCATTCCCCGAGCGCCTCTCTAGAATGCAGCAATCGACTTTACCAAGTGCTTTGCGGGAAAGTACACGCATTGGATTTTGTGGAGTGTGTGACAGGGATAGGGTTAATCAGGCTTGTCTATAATGCGGGAGGGTGAAGTTTTCTCCCACCGCTGCTATACTGTCGGCATTCGCGGTAACTAATATAGCTACGTAGGGCGTCCTGCTAGCGCTCTGGGCTAGCATTGAAAGCCGGGAGCTGCTCACACGCTCTTTTAAAACGCCGAAAATGTAGATTGAAAGTAAAAATAAACACAGTCATTACGAGAAAACAAGAATAAATTACCACGAAATCGTTGCTGATTTTCGACAACATGATTTAGCATCCTGCTCAAGGGTTTCGACTGAGAGAAGGATGGGATTTCCAATCTCGCAACAGTCCGGACACTGCTGTGTTCAGAGAGCCAGTCTGCTCTTCCGGGCGTCGGCGGTTTCCGATGCAGCCGCCACAGCTTCTGTCGATCGCCACCTACGGTTCGCACGCTGATGTCTTCGAAGAGCCAATCTTTCCTCCCGGGTGCAGGCAGTTTAAAGTAAACGGCGTCGTCGCTGCCCCTGGCTTTTACGTTGTCGCGTACGTAGTGCCTACCGAGGGAACGATACTATGTGACGATTCGGTGCCATAGTACGATGAATGCACGTCAGCAGCTCCACCCAATTGGAAACCTGCGGGAAGACTTTCCATGGGCGTATCATCCCAGGGGGGGGGGGGCAACGCCGGCACCCCCAGTTCTCTGAAAGAAGGGGGGGGGGGGGCAAGGCATATGTGTTGCTCCACCCTCCCCCCCCCCTTTCTAAAACAGCCGCTAGTAGGCTCGGCAAACACTGGAAGGCGCCGCCCAAGGAATACAAGGAGCACCGCCCCCCCCCCCCCCCGGCCCTGGGGGGGGGGGGGGGGGGGGAGGGGGAGCGAAGGAGAGGGAGGGAGGGAGGGGAAAGGAGGGAAAAGGAGGGGGGGATTGGTTTTCCCCCCACTCAAAAGCAAGTTGGTATGCCACTGACTCTTTCCTTCTTACGTAAGAGGGAAAGTCGGCATAACGAGCGAAAGAGCACGAAGGGAACCGCGCATCGGCCTCAAGAGTCAGTCCAGTCCGGTCCAAACCACTCCGTCGAAACCAAAGACGGCCCCACGCATAAGGTCAATATATGCTGACGCAACTAAGAAAAAGTAAGACCCAGGAAAAAGAAAAAGCGAGTGGTCTTTCGCATCGCGGATGTGCGGACCAGAGCAGGCGCGACACGTGCGGGAAGTTTCCTGCGTTCGGCAGACCGTCCCATGTCGTCCCAGAGACAAGAATATTTGCTGAAAGTGCCACCAGCTTAGCGGTCACCACAGGAAGCCGCACGCCCCCCCCCCCCCCCCCCCCCCGTCACCGTTACATCCAAGACCGATAACCATTTCTGTTACACAAGACCTGCCATATAATTGTCATAGACAGCCGTAATAGACGCAAAATAAAAGAGTACGAAATAAAAAAAAACTTCCATTATCGCCCGAGCATTTTCTGAACTACCCTATTATTTTCTTACCCAAAAAGAACAAACAAACAACAAAAGTCTGAACTAGGAGTTAGCATAATCAACGGAGCGCTAGACACTCAGTAACTGTCATCGCTTAGAAACATGGATGGCTAAACGCCAAATAATTTTTGGGTTATACCTTTTAGTACTACGGAAAAATCGTGCCTTTTTTGTGCGTCCTGGAGATGTTTAAGATTCGCTGTGTCCGTGCAGAATTTATCTTTTTATATCCCATATTTATGTTGTGCGGCCAAACAAATACGCGCTTGTCAGTAATGCAATGACCCGTCCACATTTACGTTGTAATCATGTTGAAACCAATGAAAAATATACAGGTGTTCGATTTGCTCCTTACTTCGTGCATGAGCGTTACTTCGCTGTGATAAAAAGTGGAGAAACACCTGATTTGTACTCTCAACAGTGTACGAATGCTTAAATCTGAGTGGGTGCCTTTTTATTTGGCCCTACCATCCTTCTTGTCGTAATAATCGGAGAAATAATGACATGTTTTGTTTCGATGTTTGCAGGTCCTGGAAGAAACATCGAAAAATGCGTACTTCCTAATGTTTCGCACCCAAATTTATGTTTTTAAGAGATGTGTCTACGCAACAGCAAATATCACAGACAAAACAAACAAAACCGCCAATTACAGAATCACATTGTACGATCTAAACGAACAAAAATAGTAAGTACTTTATTAATCTTAATAATAATTAATCAAGCAATGTTTATTATAGTACTCATGAAGAACATGTCGGTGTTTGTACTGGCATAATAATAAAAAAATAATAATAATATTAATAATCAAGAATCGAGAAACAAAAATCGGCTTTATTTGGTGCCGAGGAACGAACTTTCGTTTTTAGTACTAGCAGACCCAAACACATTCTATACTTAACACACATGAAGTGGTAAATGCATAACCCAATAAAGAATTAGTACAAGACATAAACACTTTTATAATGAGGTAAAGTTGCACATCGGCAATACAATCAGTGAAGAGATATGTGCCTAAAAAAACAGGGACACCTTCATATTCAGCAGAATTAAGGAACACCATCAACGACAAACTTCCACGAAAGTATTATTTGGAGTCATGCAACAGGCACAAGTATTAAAAAAACCTTTACTTCCACAAGAGATATCCAGGTGACTGGCAACACTTTAAAAGAATGGGGCGTAGACATTACACCCCTTGTCACATATACGACACCCAAAAACTTCAGTTGGATGTACAGCGCACTGACGTTGAACGGACGCTACCAAATTTCACGAGCAGCTTGATAGCCTAGTTGTACAAATCTTTAAAATAGTTAATGTAAGTGTGACTGACTGCGAAAAATTTATCGGGGTTTCCTAGGCACAACTGCAAAATATCTGTGTTATTTTCCTGTAGACTATGATACATACTTTAGCTGTTTAATATGTTATATCGCACCGTCATCAACCCTCTCGAAAAGTTGAGGCAGTCAGTGCAACGTCAGCGCGCTGTACGTGGAACTGAAGTTTTGGGGTGTCGTATACGTGACAAGGGGTGTAACGTCTACACCCCCTTTTTTTAGAGTGAAGACCAGGATAGGCCTTTCGCACACGAAACACTGGACTGTGTACACTTGACGCGACTGGAACATAAAAAGGAATAGGCGCACGGGTCGCCGTCTGTGGAACCCTAAGGGGTATTTGAGCCAGCAAGTCAGGACAGTCAGTAAAGCCGTGAATGGCTTGAAGGAAAAATGAAGATCAGGTTTTTCACGGCGTTGGTGTTAGCTAAAAAAATGGAGGGCGCTTATTAAACACCCATTGCATAACAAGCATAAGTTATCGCGAAAGTACAGAAGGCGATACTGTTAGCGCGAACAAGCGATCGCCGGTTTTTCCAGCTTTCCTCGTTGAAACCAAGAGTTGTCATCCAAGTTATTATTGCTACGGAGAGAGATCATTTAGTTCTATAATGTAAGCGATATAATGTTGTGCTCGCTAATACTATTTAGAAGTAAAATGCGAAAATGCGTCGATGTCGTGTTCGTGCTAACAGTGTCGCGATGTGTACCTATGTCTATAGATTGACAGGGATTTATTTTGCACTCGCTCTAGCCTGAAGTAATTAGTGCTGGGACAGATGCTGTTCCAGACCACCGAGGTGTATTCCAGACGTGATCAAGCCAACGCGCAGTAGAGAACAAAGAACGTTTTCGGGTTCGAAAATACTCTATAGACATCCGACCGGCAACACCCAGAGTACGCAAGGCGAACATTTTCATGTGATCTATGTGTGCGTCAAGGCGGAGAGAAGAAACAAATATCACACCAAGGTCTCCAACTTCGCTAACACGACTTAGAACCTCTGAGTGAATACTGTAGGCAAAACATGTGCCGTGCGTTCTTCTCGTGTAGGACATTACTTTAGTTTTAGCCTTATCTAAGATGAGGTTATTAGTCATACACCAATTATAGAATGAACATGCATACTCCTGAAGCATCCTGCAATCACTGGCACTGCGAATTTCACGAAATATCTTAATATCATCTGCATATCGCAAATCTAAACAATTAGAGATAATCTTAGACACGTTATTGACCAAAAAAATAGAGGCCGCAGCACCGACCTCTGAGGGACCCTGGTCGTGATACCATATCTGAAAGAATATTCGCCGCTTATAATTAAAATTATTCTTACGATAAATAGTATTATTACAAACAAAATATTATAATTATATTATGATGATAACAAAAAATTATAATAATATTTATTGCCAGAGCAGTGGTTAAGGAGCGCTGACGGCTCCGGCAAATCCTATACTGGATCGTGGGATCCCACCCGGGAAATCACCAAAAAAACAAGCCAGCCATAAAACGATACAAATCAAATAAAACACGTTAAATTAAGAGCAATAGAAACAAATTCAACATCAGGAAAAACATTGAATTCAAGGCTGATTCAGAACCGGAAATCGAACGAACACTCTGTCCAACATACACCAGCGGAGCCATTTTTTAGTTTTGTCATGGAATCTAAAAGGAAGGCAGAAGCTAGGAGCTGATTGCAAATATCCACAACATAATAAGCTTCAGTTCCCATCCCATACCTCGTGAAACAGTGATGACGCTTAAAACGGGCGGCCTGTCTTAAAGTGCGGGACGGTTCATACGAAACGAGAGTTCTACGTTCAAAAATACTGGAGTAGGACTGCTTTCTGGAATGAGCGATACAAATTTGACATTTCGATATCGCTGAAAATATTCGTGCTGTTAGAGAAAACTGACTTATAGGCCACCCGTTTCAAAATGCATTTGAGAATATTGTTTACCTCGGCATGCCGCAGCCTTGCGCCGTGAGCAAACACTGACACCCCGTACCTGAGTACAGTGTACGCCAAGGCACGAACTAGAATCTTTGGGACGGCAAAGGAAACAAAAATTCATTATTATATAGGAGAAAGGACACGTTCCGCAAGGCACGACAGTTGTGGGCCATGTGCTCATTCCAGTATATGTGTTCATTCATAAGCCCTGCGTACTTTGTGCTAGCGACCCATTGAATACCATCACAAATACGGAGCATATTCTACACCGCGCAAGAGAAAGGGCGTGTCTATGAAACCGAATTTTAGAGGATTACGGAAGAGCGTCAACTTAGCTCTCCCCGAATTGACCTTCAAAAGATTACATGCCTATGCCTATGCTTAACCTTATTGACATTAGTTTCCAAACTATTAAGGGCGCTATCAAAATTTATATGCCAAAAAACTAGCAAAGTGTCATCAGCGTTTTGATTACACATACATCCAGAAGTGAGAGAAACAAGAACGTCGACATAAAAGTTATAGTTCGTTTTACATTATGTGCATACACAGCCGACGTTACCAGCTGATGGCACCATCCAGACAGCGTTAAAAGGATAGCATCCAGATGTTCGTCGTGTTCATGTACGTGTTCTATTGTTTCTGAAGCAATCACAAACAAAAACGGTTTCTTTTGGTCCCCTTAGCTCGTAGCGTCGGCTGCGCCCAAACTGAAGCTGAAACGAAGTATAAATAAAAGGGGCGAAGCGCAGAACACAGTGGAACCCCCGCTCGGAGAAAACAAAGGTTATTCACTTCCCGACGCACTTGTACACGCGGTGACAGTCCAGATAACATATATGACAGTAGTGAATAAAAGGTTCCCTAAACTCAAACTTATGATTCACGCAGTGGAATACAGTGATTAACGTTACCAAAGGATTTTGACACGCCCAAACACAGTAACCTTCGACGTCAACTAAGAACAGCAGCGTACCCTTCGCAGGTACAAAAACGCATTACGATTCTGATATCATGGGGTGGTTGTACACAAATCTTGTCATCACTGAAAATAGGTTGCCCTTCAGAAAGGCGCCCCAAAACAAGCAATATTGATACGGGGCGGCAATTCTCCTTCAAAGTTTGTCTACCGCCCTTAAAAATATGTCACTTTCAACTCGCTCGTATACTCACGTGTCCTTATAAAGCCGTTAAGTATAAAAAAATGGCTTAAAGACACAGTTTTTTTCCGACAAAACCAACGGTAATTTCATCGGCTTCATGTCATGTAGTCCACTTCATACTAAACAGAGCCGAGTGGAAACCTTGATCCCGATCATAAAGTTAGCAGAAGGGCAATTTGCACCTTTCACGGGTACTTTTTTGACTATCGCCACTTTGTAATTTGTCTGGAGAGGTAGCAAAGAAAAAAACAGCTAAAAAACGTTAAGCTTTTTGAGTTTTCTTACTATTGTCGGCAAAATTCTTGTATATGACGTCATCAATTGAGCGCTAACTGTGGTGGCCTGTGAGACCTTTGGCAAATGATAAAATTTGTGAAATAACGAAACGACTTTCTGATAACGTTTTTTTAAAATAAAGCAGTTTAGCGAAGCGTACGAGGACATTGACCTTGTTCCTCGCAGCACCAAGTTCGCCGAGCAATCTTAAGTTTTTAGAAGCTCGCATACAACGCACCCAAAACCTCTTTTTTTTATTTTTTATCAGCGATGGCAGCTAAAATATCTGCAATTGACCAAACACAATTTCACCTTCGTTTTCATATCTTATTTTTATTAAAACGTGGCGCAGTGCTTTTGCGTTCAAAGATTCGTGGACTGCAACAAGTGTTGGGTAAACATCAGAGTGGGATATTCTTTGGAGTGCGCACTTGACGGCAGTTCCAAAGTTGCTCATAAGCAGTGTTGGCGGTAACTCGTTATTTGTAGCGGTGTTACCGGTAAAGCGTTACTTTTATAGGTAACGTCGTAACGTACTCGTTAGTTATTCAAAACAGTACTTACGTTACTTATTCGGACTAACGGGTGACAGTAACCTTACTCGTTAAATATCTTCCCAAGACTTGAGCAAAATTATACTCTAGTATTTTCGTGTTTATAAGCGGCAAAGCGTCTTTATATTTGTTTTTGCGATTTTTTGCGTTTCTTTTTCTGAGTAACTAGGTGCAAATCTAGAAATATATGCGGTAATTATATTGAATTTCTGTATTGACCTCATGTTTTTTGAGAACACACATGCAAAGGCATACCTGTAACGTGAGGAGAGTAAGTCGCGTTAATTCATAATTAAAAAGGTTACGCCAAACTAACGTGCGTCAGTTCTTATCAATAACGGCAACGGTTACGCGTTATTTTTATTTTGACGTAACGTAGGTCGACAACGCGTTCATTTCATTCCAAGTAACGTATTTCGTTACTTGTTTTTTGGTAACGCCTACAACACTGCTCATAAGCCCGCTCTGCGGCCCCGGTGACTGCATATGGAGTGCCTCCGCATGGTGGTCCCCAGCGCTCCCGCGCAATAGCTTCAGGTTTCGGACGCCACAGTGCGGTGAAGGCAGGCCTGCGACTGATAGAGGGACGGTGTGGAGCGCGCTGTGAAGCTGTTCAAATGGGTGTCACACGGCTGCCGATGACTGCGATGCGACCCTCTTGAAAGTCCGCCTGCGCGCTCACAGGCGACGACCGTCACTGTCTTTGGCTCGCTCCTCGGTGGCTGGTCCGTCGTCCGGAATGTCAGCAAAACGAGCCTCTCTGAAGGCGCCAACAGACGGCGGCACCCTCGTAGAGTATATTTGGGGAAGCGGTGCGCTCTGACAGGCGACGAATCGTATTTGAAACGGCAAAAAGTTCTCGAATTTTAAGGCTTTTTCTTTATGATCGCTAAAGCGGCTGGTCCCTGGGTTCTGCAGAGCGATCTTTCGTGCAGAATTCACTCACAAGCAGCTTGTAAGCACACATCATAACTAGCACAAAGGACGAGGAAGCCGGCTGTGCTTCCGTCATACATGCACTCAAAGGAGCAAAATACCGTGACCAGATTTAGTGAACAGAGTGTGTCGTATGAGCTGCACATGTGCCTGCCATTGCTCTTTTTTATAGCATAGACAGAGTAAAATCTGGCAAGAGTGTGACTGTTACGAGAGCTGCTCTCTTGATCCTGCCGCGTCTAAAATGATATAAGCGTGGTTTCACTGCGGGAGCGCACGCTTCACGTGAGTATTCCTGCAAACGACACGCGGGCCCACGTGGAACGCCACTTGATATACAACATGAAAATAATCCAAATTAATAAGCAGCACACCCTATTTGGCTCGTGGAATTCGGAAGCACTCGAAGAAGACCCGGCCGTCGGGGTCTTTGTAGATATGTCTCAGGATGGTGGCATACTCGCCGAGCGTTTTTCGAGACTTCAGGAGCTCGCGGTCGGCGTTTCGCTTTTCTTTTTCCTCACGCTCCGCAGGTACTGCTCACACACAGCCGCGAATGTAGTCAGCCGACGTTAGTTGATAGTTCTTGCATTTGTGACGTACCTCATTACACAAAGCTCCATACGTGAGGCAATTCGAGCTTCGTAGCCGGGATCCTGCCGAGACGACGCCATCACGAACGAAAGCGACGCGCCAATGCCGATCTAAACGGAGCGCGCCCGCGCAAGCCGTGACGACCCCGTTTGACGACAGCCGTTGATTGGTTGCCTGGGGAGCCGCCGTGACGGCAGTTCCCGTATACGGGGGCCAGTGCCGCGCGCCGTTCAAATCAAACCGTAAAGTCAGCTCGGTCAGCTGCCGTAAACGGGGGCCGGAAGGGATTACGTCAGCACGGGTTCCGGCCCCCGGATTCCGTATTCCGAGTCTGTTTGAACCGCGCTTTATGGTACGTTTACACCTGAAAAGAAATCCGCTGCCGCGGGAGCGGATCCGCTCCCGGCGGCGGCGGCGACGAGCGGGTTGTGTTTACATCTATTTCCTTCGAGCAGTGGCGGCAGCGCCGGCTGCGGCAGCGGTTCCCGTAACGTCCCGTCAAATATGACGAGAAGGCGCGAGAGTTTCCGCCTCGGCTCTCTCTCTCCCGGGCGTTGCTGCTCCCGGAAGAACGCGTACTCGTGACGTAGGCAGCGTCGCGCTGCGCAAGAAAGTCACATCCGGTCAGCGAAACGCCTCGTTCGGCGGCAGAAATAGATCCCGGACCTATACGGCTCGCCGCCGCGTTTTCCGCCCAGCGTTTCGCCCCAGCGGCAAAAGTTGGGCGGATCCGCTGGCGGATCCGCAAGTGTAAACGTATCATTAAGCGGCGTCGCGTCGCCGTCGCCGTCGGCGTAACCGTGAGGTCACGTGACGTACACCCCCCCCCCCCCCCGAGGTCACGTCATATCACATGACCTCACGGGGGCCACGTGGCCTCAGGGGGGTCACGTGTCCTCAGGGGGGTCACGTAACCTCACGGTGGCCACGTGGCCTCAAGGGGTGTCACCTAACCTCAGAGGGGGTCACGTGACCATACGGGGGCCACGTGAGGCCACATGTCCCCCCTGGCGGAGTAGCAGGCAGGATGACGAGGTGAGGAGGAGGGGTATACCCTCCCCTCAGTTCCCTTCCATCCTCCTCCTCAAGTGCTGCGCTCCAATTCGGCGTTACAGGGAGTTGTGAACGGCTTCATTTTTTCTAGATAACCTAATGGCGAATTCCACTGGGCGTTTTGGAGCGCGCCGGGATCAGTTGACCAGATCCGGACTGGAGCACACAATCCGAACGTGGGTCGCGCCGCCTACGGATCCTCAGTTGAACATGACCACTGCTCCGGGATCGGCGGATGCCTTCCCGTCATTCAACTGCCCGGGAATCCCCTTTCCAAGGCCGCCGCGGTTGTTTCGAAGTCGTTTTCGCAATCGCGGCGCTAACACGTGTTCGCCGCACGAGCGGCAGGAATGACTCAGGCGCTTCTAGCAAAAGATTTCCGGAATCCCCGTAGCGCGGCAAATAACTTCTCTTCTCCTTCTTGGAAAACGAACTGGCTGTCGAGCCAAAGCGTAAGCAAGCGGCCATTATGAATTCTTCTGGTGTCGAGACAATCTAGGAGCCCAGCCCGCGACGTGCTTCTTCCTCTGAGGCGAGATGGGTGAGATCAGGCGAGATGCACCACGAGGAGGGAAATCACGGGTGCGGCAAGGGCTGGCCCGTCTGGCTTCCGGTTGAATCCGCCGAAATTGTGGGAGCGACTTTTCTCGGATCCAGATCGAGATCTGGAGCGGGAGCTAATCCAAAACGACCTGTGAAACACGTCGGTTTCGATCCCGATCGCCCAGATAAATGGCTCGCTCCAGAAAAGTCGATCCCGGCGAGCTCCAAAACGACCAGTGGAATTCGCCATAAGAGAAGCGGCGATGCGCTGAGTATATGCAAGCGCGTGCTCGACGTGCCGAAAGAGCAATGCCGCCTAGAACAAGAAGACAACACCGGCGCGTTACGCCATTACGGATCGCCGAACCGCCCTAGGCGGCAAATACGCTGACGCTCGACGTGAGTCGCCGCAGGGCGCCAGATGAATCCATCTTAGACCGTCGTCGCGTGCTAGGGTCACGCTGGTTGTGAGATACTGCAAGAGGCGCAGGCGGTGATGCTGACTCGAGGCAAGCGGCACTGCATGTAGCCACTAGTGATGACGTATGAGGGGAAAGATACAGGCCTTGTCATCTAGCTCGTATTGCAAAGAAACACTGGCTGAGAAAGAGAGAGGGGCGTTAGAACAGGCAGAAAACCAAGGTGGTCCTCGTCCTGCTGCGACCGTAATTCGTGCGATAAAACGAGGCGCCGACAATATATACATTTTAAAATTTAATTTGCTGGTAATTAATTTTTCTTTATATTTCAGCGTGAATCCCACAGTACAAGTGAGAGCTCTAAGTCAAACTGACTACCCGCTAGAAAACGTTATACGGGCAAGCTTGAACGGTAAGTAACACTCGGAGGGGAGGGGGGATACGCCTTGGAAGGGTCAACTTTTTAACCCTTGTTCCAAATTGATTCCAATTTCTAGGGCGATTTAAGCCCCCCATTAGAAATGATCAAATCCAAAGACTTAGCCTTCTACAATCATTCTACAGTATCCTGCGTTTCCTAAGTTAAAAAAAAAAGTGACTTCATTAGGAAATGTTTTAAAGAAAAATAATAATTGGATTCCACAAATGTTGTGTTTTAATGTGAAGTCGAAAGCCCATAGGGCAAGTTAAGCTAGATATAGAAGAGGCAATTCTATAGAAAATACAATTACAACATAAGCATTTCACAATTTTGTTTTTCTGTTTTAGACTTAAGTTTTAATCATAAAGGCGTGAGTTTTTTTTTATTTTTTATGATGAGTAATTTAACTGTTTTTTAAAGATATTCCAGTTCCGGTCACCCCTGATTGAAGGTTTTACGATACCAGAACGTTAAACGATACATTTTCTTATACAAAATTTCCTGCCAAAAAGAAAATGCATTCGATGCTTGAATCTTAGGTGTTTCTATTTTCTATGAGTGCCAAGCCTGCTAAATTCACCTGGAGCATAGGTAACAGCTTCCTCTTTAAGAATTCATTATCTCTTTAGCATTAAATACCAGCTTGCGTCGTTTGTGAGCACACTATCTCTGGTACCCCGCAATCCTCAACAGATAAACTGCCGAGAACTAAGACGCAAACGATACTAAAGGAGGGCAGCAGAGTAGCAGCCTGATTTGAAGTGTAAGATTCTGTCAAAAGGGCACTGCTGTAAATAACACAATACCACGTCACCGGGTAGGACCAATCGAAAGCCCAGTTTTGGGTCTCAACCAGTAACATTGCCCTTTGCCTGTGAAGCAGTTTATAAAGTCCATTTCAGTTGTGGTAGGCTGTATATGGCTCAAACCGAATGCTATCCTGATGACAGATTGCGAGAGCACGCGGCCTCACTTATCAATGGCTTAGGTTCACAGCTGCCAATTCATAACAAAGTTTGCGGATGTTCACCTCTTTTCAACGGCGTGCATGTGACGGGATGTAGTAAAGGAAGGTTGGAAAAGGGGATGGTAGAAGAGCCTCTATACCACTGTGAACAACGCTGGTGTATTAAATCGCATCTTTTCGTTTGATAAAAAATTAGTACGATATTATCGGTTGGGTGTAGGCCCTGTGTGTCTTTTGGTTGCGTAGGGAAACCAAAAATGTTTCCGTATTGCGGTTTGTTTTTCATACAATTTATGCGCCCTTCCCGTTACATCATGATGCTGTTTATTCTGTAGTGCGCGTGCATAAATCATGACATTATTTATATTGCCGCCTTTAATTATGAAGGTAACTTCGTCAGTTTTTTGTATGGACGCTGGGTAGTTTTACTCTTCAAGACAACTGTGACTTGTGTGCGATACGTTTGCTCGTTGCAATTTTTCAATAAACCTTTTAGTGGCAAGTTAGCGCTCGTTGTTGCCACTACCTTCTTGGCTCCGTCCTGGAGTTGGCCTTCACCTGTCGTCAACGGCAGCGAAGCTTCTAATCGCGTTCGACTTGGCACGGGCCAACGACGCTAGGCAGAATCACGCTCAGATCCCCGAGACCAGCCCTTGAGACACCGGGCCGGTGGTGGTCCTCGCTGAGGGCTCTTAAACACAAAAGGAAAGGCTTACGGAAGCCACGAGATGATCTGGGAACGCCAGCCCTCGCAAGGAGAAGCGCCGGTGTGCGTGTGTATGTCTGTGCGTTGGATGTGTGGGTCTTTCGGTGTTGTGTTTTAGTTCAAACGGCAAACGCGTCGACACCTTGGATCAGACACCGGAGCATGGCAAGAGCGGCTACGGTATACTTCATCTGTCCCTCGCTGAAAGAACTGAGCGCAATCGCAACAGCCGCGCCCGCAATTCGAACACCGCGTGAACACTCGAACTCCAGGGAAGGGTCCTCTCGCTCAGCGGGCCTTCCCGCCCTCGGAGGGCTATATCATATTGCCTCTGGAAGCCCGAAGACGTCGATTAACCAGCCGACCACGCTATCTGTATATTGAGTCGGTACATAAAAGTTATACTTGCAAATCCCACTCCAGGCCTGTTTCTTCGGGGCTATGCGGTCAGCGAGCCACAACTCCGACTCCTGGTTCCGCACCTGAGATAGTCACCTCCCAAACGGAACATCGTCTTGTTTTTGCTTCTTCTGTGTCTCGGCTTTTTTGTGCTACTCCTTTACCATTTAGGTCAACAGCCAATTAACCGCAAATTCACTATTATTAAACAAACAACATCGCAGTTATTTACACAACAAGCGTACTTGTGTTCGAAGCTAATACGAAGGTAAAATGGAGCCTCCGGTAAGCCTCAGCAGAGCGGCAGTAACCGTTTCACTTGGAAATTCAGTAGAACAACGGTGTCTGGGACATGTCTCAGAATGGTGTGTTTAAACCGCGCAAAAAAGTGGTCCCTCGATTTCCGCCTGATAACCTCATACAAGTGTCGTGCTGTTGTAGGCCGCGATCCTGGTAATGTCCCAGCAGCGGTGGCGGATGTGCCAGTCGCCTGTTCTACTGGAGATCGCTCTCCAGTGTGGCAGTCCATTTAAACTTCGGTAGCCAGAAGTTGGGAGGCCGCGACACAGCGGTGCTCGCGTTGGCTCGTGCTTTTTGCCAGCATTTCTACGATCAACCGCCAGGATCGCGACATCTGAGAGCAGGACACTCTGGCTTCTGTGACGTCATTTGTTTACCACTTCGATACCACTTCGTATGTATGTGCGAGATAAGACGCTAAATACACCAGTGGGAGGCGCCTTCCAGGTACCATATGTGAAATTAAAAGACCCTGAACGATCTAGGCCCCCAATAAAACGTCGGTTACCGCTCTGCTTAGGCTTACGGGAGAGTCTTTTTTACGTTGCGGCTCCTTGTAAGCAATCCCGTGACGTATGGCCAAAAGTGTTGTGATTGCCTACGCGTCGCTTTCTTCTCAAAAACATATATGTTCAGAGGTGACATTTTTAATCCTGCAGAGTGAGGAAATAAAAGGGGAGCCATTGCACTTTAGATTAAGTTGTCATTCAGTAAGGCGGGGAGTTGTCCCAGTCTGTGCTAACAAACTGACTCAAGTTTTCCTGTTCTCACCGCTTGGGCGCCGGTTTGAAAGAGCAGCTTCGCATATTGCCGCGCGAGCAGCTGACCAAGTAGGCAGCGCGCTCGTGGCCCTAGGATGCCCGACCCGTACGTATGTATTCCACAGAATCTATCTGAACACTAAAATCTGTATACGCCACTTTGGTTTGTGCGCCTGATTGGCTGCCAATTCTAGACGTACTTAAGACCTTGAAGGATTTTTGAATTTTACGATTGCGCATAAGTGATCTTCATGAAGTGAATTTAACAGTCTGATTCTTTTGTAATGTACATATCTACACCGACAAATAAAAAAAGCGCTTTCGGCCTAGCGGTTATCGCGCTTGCCTTCTACGCAAAAAGCCAGGGTTCGGTGCCTGGCCACGGGGTCACATTTGTGTTGACACCGTAATGTCGTGTTCCGGTGAGTTTGGAAGCTTAATTAATGATTCGAGGTTAGAATGTTCTGCGCGCCGAACCTTTTACACCGATTGTTCTAGAATCCCAAGCGCGTACAAAAGGGGCTCCGCGTGGCAAGCCGCAGTCAGTCTCCCACCATGCGTTTGATCCTGTTCTTACGCCAACTTCGACGCCCGCGACGCTCTGATGTTTTCTTCTGTTTCTTTTTTGTTTTGGGCAGAAGTTCGCCCCATTAAACAATTCAGTTTCCTCAGTTATCCTTTGTTTCGTCACCTCATCATTCGTCACAGTATTTTTCTTCGCAGACTACAGGAGGGAGTTCGTGTCTTCGGTCATCCATAGTTTGCTGACGAACACTGACTTACTGAAATACGTCCAGAGAAAAGTAGGGTTGTTTGTCCTATTTCCATGTCTCTCATAACCTAACCCAGGTAGCACCGAGTTATGGGCCAAAACTTGGCTTTTGTCTGGGAGTTTAGGGCATTGAAATGCCCGAAGAAGCCAAAGTAGAGCCAAACCTGACCTCCCTTGGCAACAGTCTGGGTATTTTGGCCCTAACTCGCCAAACAAGTGCCAAACTTAAGCTTCACTTTTTTATAGTTCGGCTGTCATTCGGCACCTTCGGGCCAAAATCACCACAGATGTGCCAGAGTTAGGCTTACTACCTTGTAGTTCGGTTGACATCTGGCATCTTTGGGCCCAAAGTCGCCAAACGAGTGCCAAAGTTAGGCTTAGCTTCCCTATAGTTCGGTTGTCATCTGGCAGCTACGGGCCAAAGTGCCAAACAAGTGCCAGAACTAGGCTTACTGCCTTGAAGTTCGGCTGATGAGGTATTTGATGTACGCGGGGGGTCTTCATCTTAATTAAATAGACATCAAGTTTTATTCGGCTGGCCAGTTTATCTTATTTTGGGTGTCTCTTGATTTCCCCAGTACAAAGGTTGGCTGAATGTTTGGACGCGGCTGGACCAGGCTTTGCAAACGCAAATTGTGCCGGATGTTGTACTCGCGCGTAAGTACACACGTCAATATGGGGACGCGCCGTGAGACTGGTTCAACATTAAGGCGCGTTCCCACCGGCGATGCGGTCTAGTCGCACGATAACTTTCATCGCAAAAGCGACCATCGCGGGCAAAGAGCGACGCGATTGGAGCAGTCGCTTGCTGAGCCGACTTTTTGCGATGCGCTCTAGTCGCGGAGAGGTTGAGCCAATCAATGGCGTTCGGAGCAAGAGTTTTTTGAGAAGCGACTCGCCAACGAAGGCGTTGGACTAGATCGTCGCGCACGCCAGAGTGACGATCTAATTACTTTTTCTTGCGATGCGATTTAGTCGCATCGCGCGATTGAAAGCAACCCCAGTGTGACTGCGCCTTTACAGAAAGTGCTGCCATCGTGCTAGCGGTGCATTGCAAAAGCGAGCGTTGCTCTGTGTGTGTCTTGC